CCACACTCACCGCCCACGTACCTGCAGGTCACACCTGTTCCGTCTCCTACCCTTCCCAAGCCTCAGATGGCCACTATTTCTCATCTGAGATCAGCTTTATTACCTCCTAAATGTGTGAGATGTGCAGCATGTTCTGTGCCAGCTTATTTTATTTAACACAGTGTCCTCCAGTTCCGTCAGTGGCCTCGTTGACAGGGTTTCCTACTGGCTAGGCGCTAACATTTCTGCCCCAGCTATCCACACACAGCGCAGTTTCGCCCATCCCTCAGCTTCTCTGCAGGTGCACAGCTACCTCTGGGCACGGATCTCCTTCCCCTTTGGCCATATTCCCATGCAGTCTTTCAACATGAAGTCCTTCAGAAAGGAGGATCAGGAAGGCCCGTCTAAGCTCTGCTCATCCAGGGCCGTTGTGGAAAGGGACCTGGAGAAATGAAGTCCCTGTGGGCCAGACCGGGGACAAGGACACCACAGGAGAAGGCAGTGGGGGCATCGATAACACCACCAGCCGCTCCTTTCCTCCGCTCCACCCCTGACCACAGCCTAAAAAGGTCTGCGGCTCCTGAGAACCTAGGAGCCAATTCCCTTCTCAGGGCTCTCACCCAGCAACTGCGGGGGACCTGGGACCTGCCAGCACAGAGTTTCCAGGCATCACCTTGGAAGACCCAGTGCTCACTGGTGCCGGAGGGCTGGGAGGCCACCCCACGCCCCTCGCCTCAGCCGGAAACAAAGACTTAAAGGAACGCTGAGATGATCCTGGGGTTGCACACCTTGCTCTCTCTGAGGCCAGCGACCTTTTAACTAAAATAACTATTGTGGGCTAGTGAGATAGCTCAGCAGACTAAGTTCCTGCCTTGGCAAGCACAGGGACCGGAGTTCAATCCCTGGCACCATATGCCGAGCCAGCCCTGCCCCCGGGGCGCTATAAGCCAGCCACAGAGTCCATGTGTGGTGGTGCATGCCTATAATCCCAGCCCTGGGGAGGCTGAGACAGGAGGATCACTAGGAATCAGAGCTGCTTAGTGAGACCCTGTACCAAATACATAAAGTAAAATAAAATAAAATGAAGTAAAATAACTGTCATAAGAAATTCAGAAAAATGATAGGTATGTGCAAATTCTGCTAAAGTCACTTACAGTTTTGAAATGTCACAAGACCTTCTTCTAGTGACTGGAGAAAACCTAGCACAAATAAACTGTCATCTCATCTGAGCTTCTATACCCATGTATAGAATTATATACGTAAGCATGCTAAGAAACACAAACTTAACTATACTTATTTTAAGCATATTAGCAGCAATGACTCCCAGCTCATCAACAAATGAACTTCAGCACATGTGCTGCTTCGCTATGTCATGGCCCCTGAAACGCACCTGCGCTGCAGCTACTTTGGCAACTGTGCTGGAAACAGACGCAAACACACGCTTGTGCATTCACAGAAAGTGCCACTACGGCTTTAATATTAAACACAGTTGTGATCATCAGTGCAAAAGCATAAAGTGCAAAGCTCCATCCCCACGCGATGGAGACTGGATGCCCCTCACCCCGCCTCTTGCAGCACACTCCAGAGAGGGTAGAAAGTCTGTGCCTGAAAACACTGTGCTTGCTCTGGTTACAGGACTGTTCTCGGAGTCTCTAAGTATGATCTGACAGTGCATCCTTCAGAGCAGGACCATGGTCAGGTCTGCAGGAGATCAGTGTGTGCAGAACCGATTGCGGACCCAGGCTGGCCCCAAACCTCTCTTGGACCAGCTGGAGTAACAGCACCCAAGTCTTCTGGGCTAGAAAAGGCTTCAGTGCAGCTGTGGTGGGGAGGAGGGACAAGGAGAGCCCTGGCTGAGCTTACCTCAGCCACACCTGTCCCAGAGACTCTCCATGTCAGCCCAAGGGGAAGGCACCAATGCCAGGGGAGCACGGGACCATGCAAGGGAAATGCACACAGAATCGCTGGTGGAAGAGGACACCCAGTAGCAAGAATGGGGTTTTTTGTATCTTCAATCCAGTTCTGTCTGGATAAAGGCAGCCCAGGTGAATTCTAACTGGACAAAACCCAGTGGCCTTGCCAAGTAGCCATGCCTGTCACCCAACTCCTGAGCTCCTTCCTGCTGGGCAGAAGGAGGGATGGAAAGTCTGGATTACATAGTCATTAAAGGAAGAAGCTATTCCTTTTCTTAATCTGGACACATCAAAATCTGAGCTCCTCAGTCCAAGGGCAGAAGCATAGCAATAGAGATTTCAGTTCATTCTTTCTTGGGGCTCCTCCACGCCAGGCTCGATTGAGAAGGAAGATCCAGTAGTTAGCGCTCAGAATCCAGTGATCCTTTTTCAAGTAGCAATGAGTCCTAGTGGACTTCACATCTGCTCGTGAAGAATATCCCACTGGCATTCACATTTCAGAGAGACAGAATAAACTGTCAAAGTTAGAAGGCACACAGGTACAACACAGCAGTTAGGGGAAAGATGAAAATAAGGGAGCACGCCTAACGCCAAAACAAGGCTAACAGGGATTGTACTTGGCTGATAGAAATACAAGGCTTTTTCTTCTACAACTTTTTGTAGTTTCCTAGTTTTCTTTAAAGATCATGTAGAGTTTTGGTATAAATATGAATGATGCCCTACACCCAACTTAAAATAACAATATATTTCTACTCTCTTGATTTGCCATCAAGCGATTACCATTTACCATGGCAGGTTATAGTGACTTCCGTCCAAAGGTAGAGTTACGTTTTGTCCTCCTCAAGAATATTCCATTCCACTTTCTTTTCAGCTCTCAGCTCTTTGGAACAAATCTCTAGAAGGGCACAGTGCTTTCCACACAAAAACTATTTGTCTGATATGTTCACCTTGCCATGTGTCCTATGGAGAGGGATGAAAACAGCCCGGAGGCTCGGGGAGTCGCTCCTGCTCGTCCAGGAATATTTAAATATGCCCCATGGTAACATTTCATCCCTATTTCTGGGACCTGGGGAGGGGGGTTCAATGTAGCTCCCAAGGAATAAGTCATTTTCCTGAGAAAGAGAAATGGTTCCTCCGTGATTGTAAGGACAGTCCTCCTGTCACTGAGGAGCCCCTGGATAAATTAAGTTTTACAAAGCAAAAAGGAAAAAAAAAATGTTTTCCTATGTTCTGCTTTTATTTATCCGTGTTTCCATGCTAAGACACCTGACTTAAAATATATCCAGCGTTGGGGCCGGCAAGATAGCTCAGGTGACCAAAGTGCCTGCTTAGGCAAGCCTAGGCAAGCGCAGGGACCTCGATGGATCCCAAGCACCCCATGCCGCGCCAGCCCCGCCCCAGGGCACCTGAGCCGACCAGGGTCAAGGTGGAGTGGCACTGCCTGCAATCCCAGCACAGGGGAGGCTGAAAGCAGGAGGATGACCACGAGTCTGAGCTGCGTAGTGAGACCCTGTAACAACCAAATGCGTTAAAAAGTAATAATAATAATACACCCAACACACTACCTTAGCTCTTTTCTAGTTCAGAATAGATAAGACTAGAACTGATGCCTACTAAGCCAGACCGAAGTGAGCATGGTCTGGTATTTCCCTTTTTGAAGTCTAGACTTGAAACCCACAGGGCTTATCAGCAGCCCTACTCCACGGGTCACCAGGGCTCAGCGAGGCACGGTAGAAGTTCCACGTTGTCTACCCAAAATCATTTTAAAATACATTTTTAAGCTACAATACAGTAACATGTACATGCAATTAATAGCATATTTTTCTATCTGGGAGATCACCAACTTGTTAATTTGCATTTTAACTTACTGATATATTAAGTAGATGCTATAAATTTATATTCCTAAAATTAATTCATCTCACACAGTGGCATTTTATAAAGATTTCTTGCTCTGAAAAGAAACAGGAAATAGCCTGAGTTATTTAAAAACTCCGAAAATCACCAAAGTTGAATAAAGTCCTTCATTTTTAAACTCAATTCAGCACATGCTCGGCTTTTTCACTTTGGACCCTGCGCAAACGCTCACCAGCCGTGGGGCCCTGGGCGTCGGCCACCGGCCAGCACTTGGCTACCTAGCGCGGAGGGCACGTCTCCCGAGCAGGAGAGCCGGAGACGCCGAGCTGGGCGGCCCTGAGCCGGCAGCTCCCTCCTCACCCTGAGGCCGCCTTGGAGTCGCGCTGAGGTCCGGCGAGGATTCACCCGGCCCGGCCACCGGCGGAGGAAGCTCGGAGGCAGGGCCAGCCGGCGAGCAGAGGGGCGGCGGGCGGGCGCGCAGAAATGGCAGAGAAGAGAGCGCGCAGGGCTTCCCCTTCCTCTGCTTCTCCGTCGGATCAAGGACGGAAACCAGGCCACCCGCCCGCGCCGCTCCGAGCGAGGTCTTCCCGGTGGGCCGGGACTCCAGGCGGCGCCCTCCTGCAGGGACCTGGGGACGGCTGAGGACGCGGCGGCTGCGTCCTGAAGGCACGGGGCGCGCGCGGGGGCAGCACGCTGCAGCACGGCCTGGGGCCGGCGCGCGCGGGGGCAGCGCGGGCTCCGCGGCGAGTCCGCCCTCCGCCGTCTGCGTGGGCCGAGGCCCAGCGCGGGGCTCTGGCGCCGAGGGCTGAGCCCACCAGCCTCCCCGCCTCGGCGGTTACCGTCGCTCTCGACAGAGGTAGTGGAGATGCAGGACTGCACGGGACGCCTGGGTTAGCTGAGAGGTGCGCCGAAACCGAGGCCCTCGGCCGCACCCGCGCCAGCCGGCCGGCGGGGAAGGTCAGAGAAAGTCTCTGGCGCCTCCACCAGCCAGCCGAGGGTCAGCCAGGCGCCGGCTCCAGCAGCGCCCGGAATCTGGGGCCGAGGCCGTGGGCAGCCCTGGGTCCCCTAGGGACGGCTGTGCCCGGGCCACAGTAACCACAATGGATGCAGCCCAAGAGTCCACAAGAAGAGCGCACCGAGGGCCCCTCTGTCCTCGGCTGCCCCTGTTGGGGAAGGAGAGGCACTCTTTCTCCCTTGCACAGTGGAGTCTAGAGGGAACGGAATCCTGGAAAGACACACCCCACACCGACTCTCCGACCCCCTTGGCTGTCTCTGCTAGCAAAAGAAGCCCAGCACATGAGGGAAAACACACCGAGGAGCCAGCCCTGTCCTGCGTCACGTGATCTTGACGGGTGACTTCTTGTTGGCACACAGGAGGGACACATAGGGGACACCGATGAAGGCCCACTTCTCACTGGGCCAGAACTTGATGACAGGGCCTTGCTCGGGGATCTCTGAGGCAGCATCGAAGTAGGCAAAGCACACACAGCCCAGGTAGGCAGCCAGGCAGATGAGGATGTGCCTGCAAAGGAGGCAGAGGTGAGCAGGGGCGCACAGAGCCCAGAGCCTCCAGCCTGGCCTGCGGAGGTCCAGCTGCCTCTCACAATCAGGCAGGACGCAGGTGACAACAATCCCTGGGGCAGCGGGCCAACAAACCCTGAGCAACTGAGCCTCATCTCAGAATGCTCCACAATATTTCCACTTAACAACGAACAACCAAGCTAGTGCCTGTGGGCTCTGCCAGAAGACCAGGGATCTGAGGATTTACAACAGGCGGTGAGATGGAAGCCCAACGCGTCAGAAGGGATTCTCACCTTCACAAAACCTGCTTGTCAACAGCTTATGCCCACATCAAGGAAAAGTTTAATACTGATTCTACTAAGAAGGAGTGTAAGTTTGAGCCTACTCTAGACTTAGCAAGACCTTGTCTCAAAAATTTAAAAACTCAGGCTGGCTAGATAGCTCCGTGGACTAAAGCACCTGCTTAAACAGGAGCAGGGACTGGGGTTCAATCCCCATCATGCCATGCTGGCCCCGCCCCCAGGGCATGCTGAGACAGCGATTGAGCCTGGGCTCAGTGGCACACGCCTGTAATCCCAACACTTGGGAGGCTGAGAACAGGAGGATTGCTACAAGTTGGAGCTGTGTAGTGAGACCCTGTACTAAACACATTTTTTAAAAAATTAAAAACCCAAAATTGGGGCAAGGAAAGCTGTGGGTATAGCTCAGTGGAAAATGCCCCTGGATTCAATCCTCAAGACTGCAGAAAACATAAATAAAATAAAACTTTTAAGAAACCCAACATTGCACAAAACACTGAAAACCCCAGTTCTTTCCATAAGCTATCTGGAAAATGCTGGAAGACACTCCGGACAGGGGTGAAGAGTAGGCAGATTGTGTGGACAAGAAGCCCCCCCAAGCAATCCCCCCCAGGCAATCTACACACACACACACACACACACACACACACACACACAGGCCATCGTGGAAGCTGGCCCTGACGACACAGACTCAAAGCATCCATCTCTGGGATTTCGAAAACTCTCCATTTGCATAATAAATGGCACATTTACTGCAGGCAGAAATGATTACCAAGAGAAGGCAATCGATGCCTGAATATAAATTTTTAAAAACAGAAATACTCAATAGAAAAATTTAAAAAGTAAAGAACATACTGCAAAAGAGAAAGTACACATAGCAAATTTACACTTGATCAAAAATAATTTTTTAAACACTGACAATAGGGCTGGAGAGATGGCTCAGTAGAATAAGCTCTTGCCTGGCAAGCGTAAGGGCCTCAGTTCAATCCTCGGTTCCGCCAAAAAAAAAAAAAAAAAAAAAAAAAACACTGACAATAAAAACAAAATGTAATTTCCCAAGCAAGTTCACAAAAGAACGAATATCCTGTATATGTAAACATGGAGGTAAAAGGCATTGTTTTAATAGACTGTAGTAAAAAGTGTTAATTGGTACTATTTCTTCAGATTTTGCAATTTAGATTACAATTTAATCTATGGGAATATTCAAGAATTAAAGTCAATAGAGATGTTTATTATAAATTGTTTGCAAGAGTGAAAAATTAGAGATTACCTAAATATCCACTAACAGACTGGTTAGATGAATGATTAAGCATTCATTGCACAAAGCGCCAAATACAAAAAATAAATCTATGTATGTTGACATAGAATGGTGCCTATGAGCTAGTATTTGATTAAACAAAAAACAAGGAACAGTTTGCATCACGTATAGAGTGATGCTACTTTTGTTTTTAAAAAGCAGAAAGAGTGTGCCTGCCTGGCAAGCGCAAGGTCCTGAGTTTGATCCCAAGCACCAAAAAAGAGAATGATCCAAGAGTGTAAGAGTAACGGGATAGAAGAAAAGTTCCACGTCACAGGAAGATAATTATGGTTGAAGATCAACCGAGTATCTCTAAATAGCTTCTAAAGAAGATTTTTTTTTTTTAAAGAAGATTTTTGAATGTTCCTAACCCAAAGAAATACTATCTGGGGTAAGGGATAG